CCTGGAGGACGCCGTCATGGTCGTCCTTCACCGAGGGTTTTGACGATAAAAATAACGTGTTTTTCTTCACGATCCTGACCCTGTTCAGTTTGACAGGACCGGTATTCTGCATTTATTCTTTCATTCTTCATATTCTCCACAGACTGTGCCGAGGGGCGGAGCCAGGTGTTCTGGGGGCGTGGCTTTTGTATTTACCTCTAAATTCCAAGTTAATCAGGAAATCATGTGAAAGTATCTGCAGCATCTGAAGGTCGGATAAATTCAAGTGAAACCATCACTGATCTGCTGAGTCAGACTGAAACAGAGAAACGTGATCGTGAAAATCCGACATTCGTTCTCCGATCGGATTTTCGTCAGGAGAAAAAGCCGAATTGAGAGGAGGAGTTAGAGGTTGGAGAGAGAAAGGAAACGGGTCTGAGAGAGTCGGCTCAGGTGTTATCTCATGATCCAGGTGAGGGACTATGGTCATGTGACGACAGGAGCAGGTGATCAGCTGGGTGTGACGAGTGAACTTTGACCCCTGCTGAAACAGCTGACTCTGAAGGTCACGGAGACGTCCTTCTCTAACCTGAGCATTAAAATAGGGATCCTGTTTCCACGGTGACGCTCTGTTTCACGGACAGGAAGTGACCATAAATCTAAAGTCCCTGAGCGAAGAGGGCGGAGACACACCTGAGGACTCAGGTGCAGACTGAGGGGACGCTACTGTCTTTACTGTGTCTCTACTGTCTCTACTGTCCTACAGGAATGTCTGCTACATGTCCACACCTGTCCTCACCTGTCCTCACAGACAGGAAGTCACAGCCCTGAGCCGCGTCAGCAGGTCGTCCACTCCCAGCAGCTACAGGAGAGGAGGCTCAGGTCATGTGACACGGCGAGATAACGGTCCATCTCAGGTTTGTTTGACTGATTTCAGCTTCTTGACCTTTGACCCTTAGCTGCAGCGGCTGATTAACAGGCGTCTGATTGGTGGGTCGACATTGGTCGGAGGGTCAAAGGTCATGAAGGAGCAGCACCAAGGACCAATCAGCAGAGAGGACGGCGGTGAGGTCAGAGGGGTGCATTTGGTTCAGTGTCGGGAGCGCTTGGCTGGAGGGGCGGGGCTTCGTTCCGATAGGCCCAGCCTGCTGATCTCTGATTGGAAGAACAGCTGTAGGCGGAGCCCGGCCTTGGCCTCGTTAGTGTGACGAGGATTATACTGAAGACAGTTGGAGAACATCAGGTCCACGTCTGAGATGAACTCACCTGAGGGGGGACAGAAACAGCTGATTATGAGGTCATCAGGTGGACTTCCTGTTTACTGGATGGTTCTGACTCCTCGGGTCGACTGGTTCTGGTCTTTAACTGAACCTCAAACTATCTGCTGACACTAAAGGTTCTGGAAGAGACCCGGGACATGGACTGGGAGGATCTCCAGACCATCAGGGGTCCTGGTTCTGAGCTGGTTAGACCCTCTGCTCTTTAGAGGAGGATCCATCAGACCTCAGGACAGGTCCATCCGGTGAGTCCCACTCCAGAGTCCTCAAGATCAGAACCATCCAGTCCTGGTTCTGGTCCTGGTGCCCTTTTCTACCGTCTGACTCTGGTGGGACTAAAACTAAAGACCTCTGGACTCTGAGTTCAGACTCCTGGTCCTGGTCCTGTTCTGATGAGGTTCTCACTGACAGGTGTGTGTGTGTGTGTGTGTGTGTGTGTGTGTGTGTGTGTGTGTGTGTGTGGTTCCTACCTGCGCTCTGATATTCACAGTTGTTCACTTTCTCTCTGATGGTGCTGAGGGCGATCGGCTTCTTGATGATGTCATAGTAGTCAGGTACCTGAGGACAGGTGAGGTTCAGCTCTGTGGTCTTAGAGGTGTGTGTGTGTGTGTGTGTGTGTGTGTGTGTGTGTGTGAGGGTCTACCTGAGTCCTGGAGACCAGCTTCATGAAGGGCCAGCTGTCCTCGTGTCGGACCAGCTCCACGGTCAGCTGCTCGCACGCCGACAACTCGTGGACGCCGTGGTTCCTGCCGGAGGAGCGCCGGCTGGATGATGAGGAGGAGGCCGAGGAGGCGGAGACAGAGGAGGAGGGGGGGAGGACAGGGAGGACAGGTTTGGAGGATTTGGGGGGAGGGGTCACATCTGGGGGAGGAGCAGAGAGGATACTGGTTTTACTGGAGCTCATCAGGGTCCAGGTTCTTAAACAACTTAACGACTGCCTGCTGATTGGCTGTTTACTTTTAACCTGCCTGCTGATTGGTTGTTTACCTTTAATCTGCCTGCTGATTGGTTGTTTACCTTTAACCTGCCTGCTGATTGGTTGTTTACCTTTAACCTGCCTGCTGATTGGTTGTTTACTTTTAACCTGCCTGCTGATTGGTTGTTTACCTTTAACCTGCTGCTGATTGGTTGTTTACCTTTAACCTGCTGCTGATTGGTTGTTTACCTTTAACCTGCTGCTGATTGGTTGTTTACCTTTAACCTGCCTGCTGATTGGTTGTTTACCTTTAACCTGCCTGCTCATTGGCTGTTTACTTTTAACCTGCCTGCTGATTGGTTGTTTACCTTTAACCTGCCTGCTGATTGGTTGTTTACTTTTAACCTGCCTGCTGATTGGTTGTTTACCTTTAACCTGCTGCTGATTGGTTGTTTACTTTTAACCTGCCTGCTGATTGGTTGTTTACTTTTAACCTGCCTGCTGATTGGTTGTTTACTTTTAACCTGCCTGCTGATTGGTTGTTTACCTTTAACCTGCTGCTGATTGGTTGTTTACTTTTAACCTGCCTGCTGATTGGTTGTTTACCTTTAATCTGCCTGCTGATTGGTTGTTTACCTTTAACCTGCCTGCTGATTGGTTGTTTACCTTTAACCTGCCTGCTGATTGGTTGTTTACTTTTAACCTGCCTGCTGATTGGTTGTTTACCTTTAACCTGCTGCTGATTGGTTGTTTACTTTTAACCTGCCTGCTGATTGGTTGTTTACCTTTAACCTGCCTGCTGATTGGTTGTTTACCTTTAACCTGCCTGCTCATTGGCTGTTTACTTTTAACCTGCCTGCTGATTGGTTGTTTACCTTTAACCTGCCTGCTGATTGGTTGTTTACTTTTAACCTGCCTGCTGATTGGTTGTTTACCTTTAACCTGCTGCTGATTGGTTGTTTACTTTTAACCTGCCTGCTGATTGGTTGTTTACTTTTAACCTGCCTGCTGATTGGTTGTTTACTTTTAACCTGCCTGCTGATTGGTTGTTTACCTTTAACCTGCCTGCTCATTGGCTGTTTACTTTTAACCTGCCTGCTGATTGGTTGTTTACCTTTAACCTGCTGCTGATTGGTTGTTTACTTTTAACCTGCCTGCTGATTGGTTGTTTACCTTTAACCTGCCTGCTGATTGGTTGTTTACCTTTAACCTGCCTGCAGATTGTTTGTTTACCTTTAACCTGCCTGCTGATTGGTTGTTTACCTGATGCCGGTCTCTTGCGGGACTCGCCTTGACCTGGTGAGGTCTTGACGTTGCTGTTCGGTGCGAGGATCTCATGGCTCAGTCTGGCGCTGGCTCGGCTCCCGGTGCGGGGTGGAGGTTTACCACCAGTCTTACCTGAGGGGGGCGTGGCCTTTTTCCCTGAGGACCTGTGATTGGATAAAATCAGTATGAGAGTGCGAATGATCAGGATCAGGACTTGAGTAGACCAGGATCAGAACTCCAGATACTGACTTTGAGGCTGAAGAGCTTTTTCCTGCTGAGGTTGTGCTGGTCTTGGGCGTGGCCTGTTGACCCTTGGGCGTGGCCTGTTGACCCTTGGGCGTGGCCTGTTGACTTTTGGGCGTGGTCCCTTGGTTTTTGGGTGTGGTTCCTTGGTTCTTGCCTTTAGGGGGCGGGGCCTGGTTCTTCTTGGTGCTGCTGATTGGAGAATGAGAGAAGCCGAGGTCTCAGACTGATCTCAGACGGACCAATCAGGGTTCAATATTTCTGCCTCACTTACCTCACGACTTCCTCCTCCTCCTCTTCTGACTCCTCCTCTTCCTCTGACTCCTCCTCCTCCTCTTCTTCAGACTCTTCTTCTTCCTCCTCTTGTTCTTCATCATCTTCCTCTTCTTCCTCCTCCTCATCTATAGAGGAGCGCTGACGGGACGGGACACGGCTGGATCTCTGTTTGGGTCGACAGTCTGGACAGAACCAGTCGCCCTCCGGAACCGACTAAGAACCAAACAGGAAAAGAGCCAATTAGAAGAAGCTGAGGGTGGGGTTTAAAGACCTGAAGGCGGGGCCTAAAGAAGTGGGTGTGGTTTATATACACGAGGGCGGGGCCTCAGTCAGTGGGAGTGGCTTATATACATGAAGGCGGGGCCTACAGTAGTGGGTGTGGTTTGTATACCTTAAGGCGGGGCCTCAGACAGTGGGTGTGGTTAATCTACCTAAAGGCGGGGCCTCAGACAGTGGGTGTGGTTTTTCTACCTAAAGGCGGGGCCTCAGACAGTGGGTGTGGTTTATCTACCTTAAGGCGGGGCCTCAGACAGTGGGTGGGGTTTGTATACCTTAAGGCGGGGCCTCAGACAGTGGGTGTGGTTTGTATACCTTAAGGTGGGGCCTCAGACAGTGGGTGTGGTTTATCTACCTTAAGGTGGGGCCTCAGACAGTGGGTGTGGTTTATCTACCTTAAGGCGGGGCCTCAGTCAGTGGGTGTGGTTTATCTACCTTAAGGCGGGGCCTCAGACAGTGGGTGTGGTTTATCTACCTTAAGGCGGGGCCTCAGACAGTGGGTGTGGTTTGTATACCTTAAGGCGGGGCCTCAGACAGTGGGTGTGGTTTAATCTACCTTAAGGCGGGGCCTCAGACAGTGGGTGTGGTGTCCTCGGTCACAGCCGTCACACAGCAGCATGTTGTCGGCGTCTCCTTTGCGTCTGCAGATCCGACAGCGAGCGTTGAGGACAGAGCGGGACCAGAGGATGCTCCGCTCCAGAGTGGACAGGTGGACAAAAACCTGGACACACAACAAGAACCTTCTGTGTTTAAGGTGGACTCAGAACCGTTTGGAGGATCCAGATCCTGCTGAGAACTTTGATCTGACCTGAGACAGACTGGAGGACGACTGCAGAGACTCCCTCCATCGCTCCAAGACCGTCTTACTGACCCGACCGCTGTCACTGCCGTCTGACAAACAGAACCAGAACCACCAGTAAATTAAAGGGTCAATATGAAGTTTTTTATGACATCACTTCCTCCTCCCTGAGGTGGTCTCACCGTCACTGGCCAGGTCCTCGTCTTTCTTCTTGCTCTTCTTCGTCTTCTGGTCCTTCTTGGAGTCTTCCTCACCTGTGGAGAAGGTGGACGAAGGTCAATCAAACTCTTCTGCACATGCTCAGATACTGAACATCTAGAGATGGAAGATTCTGGAACCAGAAGACTGAGAGTGGACTTCACACAAAGACGAGGACCTCCAAGTCTCTCTGATCATGATCTTCACAGCCGGCACACTTCCTGGACATCCACCTGTCTCTCCTTTGAGCAGGAGGAGCAGGAGGAGCAGGAGGAGCAGGAGGAGCAGGAGGAGCGCCTGTCTGCAGGTGTGTTCTCAGGTTCTCCTCATACTTTCTTTTCCAGGAAGTTTCAAAACTTTCCAGGTCTGCAGAGACTCACCCAGTGGAGCTTTAAGGAACCGTCTCTCGATGCCGAACTCGATGTGAATCAGAGCCTGAGCCAGGACCCGAACCGTGCTGCTGACCACCTGAGGGGTCCCGCTGCCCGAGGCCCCGCTGTCCACCGCCTTCAGCTCCTGCATCCTGAGACACACACACACACACACACACACACACACACACACACAGACACACACACACACACACACACACAGACACAAACACAGGAACAAACAAACTGAGTGAATTCATCCTTCAGTCAAACAGCGCCCCCTAGCTGCTGCTGCCTCTCTCTCTCTCTCTCCTCCGTGTGCAGACTGCGTACCTGTCTCTGGCTCTCAGGTGAGCAGGCTCCGCCTCCATGGCCTCCACTCGTCCTCCGTTCATCCCTCCGTTCTCTCGCTCTGAACTCAGCAGCTCATAGTTTCCTGTTTCCAGTCCAGAGCGCCACACCTGTCTGTCCATCACCTGAGCGGACGGACGGAGAGACAGACGGACAGGTGAGTTAGTCCAGGTACCTACTGTGTCTGTGTGTGTGTGTGTGTGTACCTTCAGAGTTCCTAAAGTCCCCTGGTGGATCCGGTCCTCAATGTCCAACAGCAGGTCTCTCAGTCTCCCCTCCATCCGGGTCTCAGCTGCAGCAGTGCATTCTGGGACGGATCGTGACGACTCTGGATCATCTGGAAACAGGACAGGTGTGAGTTCACCTGTTCATGTCACTGATCTGTACAGAACCAATCCGGGTCGATAAGGACCACCTGCTCTCTGCCCACCTGCTCTCTCCCCCCCCCGCGCCCTCTGACCTGCGCGCCCTCTGACCTGCGCGCCCTCTCTCTCTCCCCCCGCTCTCTCCCTCCCCCCGCCCTCCCTCCCCCCGCCCTCTCTCCCCCCCGCTCTCTCTCCCTCTCACCTGTGCAGCAGTACTTGTTCCTGTCCCCGCCCTGCAGCAGGTGCGTCAGCCGCTCTCTCTCTCTCTCTCTCTCTCCCCCCCGCCCTCTCCCCCCGCCCTCTCTCTCCCCCGTGCTCTCGCCCTCTCACCTGTGCAGCAGTACTTGTTCCTGTCTCCGCCCTGCAGCAGGTGCGTCAGCCGCTCTCTCTCCTGCAGCAGCGCCTCCTTCAGGCCGCTCTCTCGATGACCTCGGGGGTTCAGAGCTTCGATCAGCTGATCCACCTCCTCCACGGAGCTGTAGAAGGACCACTGGTTGGGACGTTTGAGCGGCGGTCCGCAGGTGTGTAGAGGGGCGGGGCTTGAGCCGGCACTGTGAAAGAGGAGGAGGGTTTACTGTCGTTCAAACCGTGAGCTCATCACGACCAGAACCAGAACCAGAACCGAACGAACAGAGCCTTACTCTCCCTCTGCCGGCTCCTCTCTGGCCTCGTCCTCGATGATGATGACGTTGTCCTCCATCTTGGCGGTGGCGTCCTGTGCGGGGGTCGGGTGTGGCTGCAGCATGTCCTCCGTCAGGCCGAAGCAGTCGTCCTCCACAAACAGGATGGAGGCCGAGGGGAGGAGCCAGTAACGGCGGTACAGGCGGTCTCGACCTAGAGGGAGCAGACAGGTGCAGGACGCCGCCTTCTGGATCCGCTCCTGCAGCTCCCGGACCTGCAGGGAAAACCCGGTTCTGGTCAGACTCTGGTTCCTCTTTGACTGTTAGTCCAGGTCCAAAAGGTTCTGTACTGACCTTCTCCTGCTCCGTCTCCAGGTCCTCTGCTGTCAGGGGGACGGGGGACGGTCTGGGGTCAGAGGTCATGGTCGGCTTCTGGTTATTACCTGGAGGACAGAGGAGACAGAGGAGACAGTGAGGACAGAGGAGACAAAGGAGACAGCAAAGACAGAGGAGACAAAGGAGACAGCAAGGACAGAGGAGACAAAGGAGACAGCAAAGACAGA